AGGGTAGTGACAGTTTTTATACTAAAGTGAAACTGAGTAAAAGCCTTACCTATGAGAAGAAATGAATCAGACTTATAATTTAATAATTTTTAGCAAACATTTTTGAACCTTATTTTAATTCAACTCACTTTAATTTCTGGCTGATTTTATATGATAGTGTTCAAAAAGAGAATGCTTTCTCAATGACTAAGTCTTACAGTGGCTCAGGGTGACAATTTTAATCATGAACTGTACAAACCAGTTTACAAGAACATTGGCATGAATGTATATCAACTCACGGAAGTTGGTTTCCTTCCCGTATTTCTGATAGCTTATTATTGATTCTTTGCTCCAAATGGTATTGCAGGTCTGGGTATAATTGTAGGCTACAGATAGAACTGGTTGGTCAATATTTTGCTTCTATTGGCCTCCCTCACCAAAATGAATTTTAAACATAAACTATGACCAAAACGAACCAAACCATAGTAAAGAAGAAAAAATAAAAAGCTTTCCATAGTAATCAAGATGCTGTGATGTTGGTTTTAGAACAGACACACAGACCAATGGTACAGAATAAGGTCCAGAAACAGATCTACACATATAGGTCAACCAATTTTAACAAAAGTGCCACTGCAGTTCAATGAGGAATGCATAATCTTTTCAACAAATGGTTAATAATTTCCATTAAAAACAAAGTGAAACAATGGGCATGGAGGAGGGCACTTGTTGGGATGAGCACTGGGTGTTATATGGAAACCAACTTGACAAGAACTATAATAAAAAAAATAAAAATAAAAACAGAATAAAACAAACAAACAAAAAAACCCTTGCTCTACACAAGATGCAAAAATTAAAGAGCTAAACCTGTAAAACTTCTAGGAGAAAATTCCTATGCTCTTGCATTAGGCGAAGGTTTCTTAGATAAAACACAAAAAAACATGAGCCATTAAAGAAAAAAACAATTGTTACCTTAGATTACATCAAAGTTAAAAGATGCTGCTCAGAAAATAAAGACAACACACATAGTGGGGAAAAAAATGTTTGCCAAGACACACAGCCAATAAAGAATCTGTATCCAAATATTCACAGAACTCTTTCACTCAATTGGAAAACATCAATAACTAAAAAATATGTGGGGAAGAAATCTGACGCTTCACTAAAGAGGATATAAGGATGGCAAATAAGCGCAAGAAGGGATGTTCTGCATCACTGGCTGTTAGGGAACGGCTGTAGGAACATCATGACAATGAGATACTACTGCACAGCTAGCAGAGCACCTTACATGGAAATAGCAGACGACATCAGATGCTGATGAAAATGTGGAACACTGAACGTGCTGTAGGTGAGGACACACAACGGTACAGCCGCTATGGAAAAGCCTGGCAGCTTCTCAGAAAGTTAAACATATCCCAACCATACATCCCAGGAACCCCCCGCTCTGCAGTATTTACCCAAGAGAAATGAAAACATGTCTATAAAAAAAAGAAAAATCCATATGTGAATGTTTATAGCAGCTTTATTTGTAATAGTCAAAAACCAAACAAAGCAAATACCCACCAATTGAATGAGTAAGGAAACTTGGTACATTCATAAAACAGAATACTACTTAGCAATAAAGAGGAATCAAGTACTTAGCACGTGAAACATGGAGGAATCTCTAAAGCATTCTGCTAAATTTCAAAAAGGACAGACACCAAAGGATAGAATTCTTCTATCCATTTATAGGGCACTGTAGAAAAAGCAAAACTAAGGACAGATATCTGAGAAGTGGTTTCAAAAATCTGATAAGGGGATGGGGGAGGGGGACTGACCACAAAGAGGGTAAGAAGAAAAGTCTTTTGGGGTGATGGAAGCGTTCTGTGACTTAACTGTGGTAGTGGCTATATGATGGTATGAATTTGCCAAAATTCAAACTGTGCACTCAAAAAAGGGTAAACTTTACTGCAGTTTACTACAGTTAATTACCTCTCATAAACCTGGTGTCCAAAAAAAAATTCTTTTGGGATGCCTGGGTGGCTCAGTCAGTTAAGTGTCCGACTTCAGCTCAGGTCATGATCTCATAGTTCGTGGGTTCGAGCCCCGTGTCAGGCTCTGTGCTGACAGCTCAGAGCCTGGAGCCTGCTTGGGATTCTGTGTCTCCCTCTCTCTCTGCCCCTCCACCACTCCCTCTCTGTCTCTCTCTCAAAAATAAACACTAAAAAAAAATTCTTTCAATATGAAGCATGAATGAGGCATTAATAATCACTTTCTTCTTGCTGTGCCAAATCCAAACCTCACTCTCAATGCTGCAGCTTACATGCCAGTGCGCGCAGTGAGAGAAAATGGAACCAAAGTGGCAGGAGAAGAACATGACAGAATGTAGGGGTTGATGCCAAACTCTTTATAAAAGGACTTTATCGGGTAGGAACTATACAACATAACTTGATACCCATTTAATTTTAATTTCAAGGAATTTACCTTACAGACATTTTCACACAAGCCCACAGTGGCATTATTTTCAGTGACAATAAAGTGTAGACAACAAGCATCCTTTAGGGAGGAGATGGCTAACTAGACACTAGGTTTTCAGCATATACAACTGAAGGAGCACTGGGTATCTCTGTACTAACCCCAAAGTATATTCCACCTTTTGTGGAATAAAAAATTCAGTTGCAGAATGGCACATTATAGCAAGCCCGCTGGAAAATAACAAAACCTATACTCATGTCTACACAGGCAAAGTTCAGGAAAATTCTAGGCCAGTTGTAGAGAGTGTTTACACAGAAAGCTGGGCAGAGGACGGTGTGGCTGCAGGACGCTTGCACCGGGGGCGGGGGAGAAGGAACAGTTTTTAATTGTGTACAGTTCTCTACTTTCTTCACCAGACACATATTACTCTCGTGATAAAAATGAGTGAAAATAACAGTTAAAGAGAAACACCCACAGCAACAGTAAAGAGCTGCCCGGGCTTGAAAGGAATTGTACCCAGATGTCATGCTGCCATCTTCTGGAACAAACAGGAATCTACAGTAGCAGGGAAAGGTACGTGGACTTTTTCAAGGCAGAATGTCAAGGGTTATGGCGGTAAAAATGATAAGGCAAGGACAAACCACCGAAGCCCCGTCTCTGATTTAGCCATTAGTGAAAGAAACCGCTAGAGACAAGCAAGCGCGGACACATACAGAAGTGATGAACTCCTCACAAATCATAGGATACAAATCAGACGGTGGTAGATAGTCATGTCCAAATTGCTTTGGTTTCTCAGACCTCTTCTTTTTTTAGGAAAACTGCCTAATTGTTATTTATAAATATCAACAGAACAGTTATACTGAAACATTTTGAAACCAACAAAATTTGTAAAGCGTTGTTTAAATGGAGACGCTACAAGAGTTTTACATTTGAAAACGCAAGCCAAAAACCACCACAGACCATTGGCACATTTTGAGAAATAAAACAAAGCACGGTGGAGTTCTTAAAATTCAAATACAACTGAGGTCACCCATCATCATACAGTAAAAAGAGGTGAAAATAACAATCCGTAGAGTTTTATAGCCTTCACATTAGGCAAAGAACAAGTTTTAGAAAACAAAATCCTTAACATCGTATGTTTTCTGAAAGTTTTTTAATTACAAGACCAAAAAGCTTCGTAAGTGGTAAGTAGGTTTTTGGTTTTTGTTTTTGAATTTTTGGTTTCTTTTCAGTGGTAGTGATTTGCCAACTGTACCAAACTATGAATGGGGGCGTGGGGGGGGAGGAGAGCCCATAAATGATTTACATGTAAAGATAAAAGAATTTTTTAAACAATCCACCCTTTAGCAGAAGAAATTGGGGATCACTCTGAGTGTTAATGTAAAATACATTTAGTTTTTAGCAGCAGGAGTTCCAGACCTATTGGTGCCAAGGAGGTAACAAATAGCCTGTATCTAAGGGCAGGGGAAACGGGCCCTCAGCAGGAGCTTTCTTCCCTGTTGTGTTATTTATAGAGAGCTCTATTTGTTAACATGTTTCTGCTATCACGGAGAGGGAGAGGGGAATGATTTAAAGGATTTCAAAAACAACTGTTTAATGATACAATGATTTATGTGCACTCACAAATTCCAGCTCTATAGCAATTTAGATTTTCAAACTGCTGTCATCAAAACAGTGGTAGGAGAGGATACTGCTGAAATGTAACTGGGGAATCCAAGACCAGGGACGGTACCTTAATTTTGTGAAACACAGAGAACTGCTGGGAGACACCGGGTTAGGAAAGAAATCAGTCACCTACCACCATGCTTCATGGCAGCAAACAAATTTCCCAAAGCCCCTTCATAGGAACTTTTAGATTAAAAAAAGTTTTTTTTTTCTTTTTTTTAACGGAGAACCATGAATTAAATACCAAATTACTAATTTGGAATTTCTTGGAACAAATCCCAAATGTGACTAATTGGAATGATCTGGAGGATGATTCAACTAAACTGCTCTATTTTTCCCCCAAAACCAACCCTGCGCCTCCCACCCCACAGGACATATAAGAATCTTGTTTGAAAGACAAAGTGCTCTCACCTTAGTTATTTATAGGCTCTATATTCATTTTATAATGCTTGGCTTGTAATATTCTGGTTACTGAAAGCATTTTCCAATTTTGATTTTAATCAGTTAATAGAAAACGTTCCTTTAACATAGATGAAGCCAGTCATTAACGCTTCTTAACTTTAAACCAACCAAACAGGTCTTATGATTTCCATCTTTCCTAATGGTTAAATATTTTTAACCGGCTTTTTCTGCCACATTTTAAAACCCATCTTTTCTCATTTTCTAAGTGTTTACCCTTGTATTATCCTTTCATTTTCGTAACATTCCATTTCTTCTATCAGTCTGTTTCTTAAGGTCTTCTCGCCTAGACACAATGAGTGCATTTCACGAGATAAATTCTTGTTTTACAACAGAGGCCTGAAGCTTTGGTCAGCATGTACTAGCATGAAACTTTCAGTAAACATGTGCTGTGGAGAGAACAGATTTAAGAGAATGTTTCCGACTGAAGAGACCCCACTTACTTCTACTTAAAAAAAGGTTTAAGTCAAATGATTTTATTTGAAACTTTGGACAGAGGATGAGAAGCGGGATGAAAGAAATGTTTTGGGCACCGGAGGTGGGAACAGGGGGAGGGTTACCTTCTCCGCTGCTGAACGTTCTTTAGGAAATGCCAGTTACTGCTTCAATTGCCGCTGTGCCTGACCCCTTGGACGCCGTCAGGGAGCACTCCCTCCTCTGGTGGAGAGAGCTTCTTCTTCTGTAGCATTTTGGCTGAGCGGGACCTTTCGTATTCGCGAGGGTGGCTGTGCACACGCTCTTTCTCCTCCTCCCAGGTAAACTGAAGGCACTGGCGGCGAGGCCATCCCTGTTTTCTTCCCCCGACACGAACACAGGGAGCACTGTGCTCAGGGTCTGTCCAGAAGGCTCCGTGTCTTCAGGGAGGGCCACACTTTCGAGGCCTCTGCTGTCCACTGTGCAAACCGTTCTCCTCCTCAGTCTCTGGGAACGGCAGGGAGCGGAAGGAAATGGGAGTGAGATCCAGACCAGCCCTTCGTCTTCCAGATCCTTCTGCAGCCTGGTGCTCCGTCTCACTTTGGTTTCCCTACTTGTTCTCTGAAAGGTCTGCTCTATGGAGTCCGATAAATCTTTATAGAGGTCAGAATTTCCTAAACCCGCTTCCACAGGGCTGCTCACAAGGTAGGAGGGGTTATTTCCGTTTTTTCCCAAACAGAAACTCTGGCCATCAGAATAACACAGAGAGCGTCGTCTACGCTTCTTTCCTCCCCCGTTTGTTCCAGGGCTTCTACTCTCTCTGCAGTTTCTTCCCGAACCCGCACTTGGATGTGCACTTTCTCTTACACTGTCAATGAAGACACCTTTTTGCGAGCCAGATGTTGCATGTGTGGTCGGCAGTTTCCCTTCCGAGGCTGTAACAACGTCATGCTGCTTTTCGTACTTTATGTTCACGTCATCTGAAATGTTAAAGATTTGGAAAAGGTTTTCCACATTGTGACCGGCGGCGGCCAGTTCCCGGGACGGCAGGGTTGTACTGGCTCCCGCATCATCTGATGCCAGGACCTCTGCGGCCACAGGGCTGCTCTCATTCTCAGGGCCAGCTCTCAACTCGTTTTCACTTTCTGACTTCACCTCTGCTTTTGGAAGAGCTTTATGTTTGTTAGCTTCGACGGTATTTCCATTTAAATCTTGCCCTAATGCAGCGTCAGCATCGATAAGCAGCGAGGAACTTCTGGTGTAAGAGCTGCAGAATGCAGACAGATCGGATTTATTGAAACCTTGACTCTGCAAATCTTCTAGCTTCTGAGGCAAAATATTCTTTCTGTGAGGAAGCTCTGCTTCTTGAAGTTCACCACTGGAGTCAAAATCATCTAGGGGCGTGGAAATAAGTTTCCATCTCAGCAAAAAGTAACAATGGAAATAAATGTTGACAAATCAAACTGGGGCTTTATTGTATTCTGTGTTTTAAAGCTTTCAGAACTCTCAAGAGCTATGAATGCCACACTGTCCCTGCCCCCAGCTGTCATCCTGCTCTCTTTCAGTTCTTCCCCCAGCCACAGGTTAAGAAAATATGTATTTAATACATAAGTGAATAAAGTACATGCCCTCAGACCACGAAAATGAGACGCATATCTCAAATTGCTTCCTCTATTCTAATGTACTTTCCACACTATGAGGTCAATTAGCATGAGGCAGCCACATTTCCCATTTCCCGAGAAATGAATTACTGAAAATGGGCACCACCATGCTTCTGAACCTTTTCTAACAACGTTGCCCCTGAAAGAGAGGAAAGAGAAAACTTGGAATTTTGGAGGGCTTGAGGATTTAGCTAGAAGGGTACTTTTAAAGACACTTAGGTCTTATGCCCTGTGTTAAAAAACGAATATAGGGGCGCCTGGGTGGCTCCATTGGTTAAGCATCCGACTTCGGCTCAGGTCATGATCTCACGGTTCGTGGGTTCGAGCCCCACATCAGGCTCTGTGCTGACAGCTAGCTCAGAGACTAGAGCCTGTTTCAGATTCTGTGTCTCCCTCTCTCTCTGACCCTCCTCTACTCACACTGTCTGACTCTCTCTCTCTCTCAGAAATAAATAAAAACATTTAAAAAAATTAAAAAGAAAACGAATATAAACTGCACTGTACTCTCAAAGAGAGCTATGTTTGTTTCAATATTCCACCTTCCACCTCAATCTGATTAAAATCATCCTCCAGGAAGATCTGCCACACAGAGGCTGTCTTGCCTTTTCTGCACAACGTGTTACATCATACAGGTGGAAAAAACATCATCAAGGTCTTAAAGCTATGGAACACGGCCAAAAAAATTCAGGCTTTCACTGTTCTAAGCCTCAGTACTCCTGGATGCCATCTCTCTTGTGATCTCAGAGAGTAAGGGTTTTAACTGGCCAGCCAAATGTAAAAAATGTTTTAAACAAAAATAAAAACTCTTAGTAACTTCTATAAAACATCAGCTGAGCCAAAAATCTAAAAGACAGGATTTCAATTTGAAGAGGTATATATCCACGACATGGGTACTTAACATCAGGTCACATAAGCTAGAGATTAATGTAGGGCTCACTCAGTGGCAACTGACTCCTGTCAGTGGGGCTCTTTATACAACTTTAAAAATTGACGTTTATGTATTTTTCATGAAACTGACAGACTAGAGAACAAAGGCAGGGGACAAGGATGGAGGGAGGGAAGAGAGAGAAAGGGGCAGGGGAAAAAGGGAAAGGGAGGGTGGGAGGAATTTGCTTTAAACCCTTTTTAACAGAGGACACCACTGCTTATAGACAAAAAATGTTTCAGGTATTTTTAAAAAGAAATGATCTAATAAGATTCAAAACCTATACTAACAGGCATTGTTTAACTATCTTTGGGAAAACTCCTGCCAGGACCTAGAGATATGATGAAAATAAGACTTAGTTTTCAGTCTCAAGGGAACCACAATTTGCAGGAGAGGGAAGAAGAGAGAACGTTATAAACTAGATGGTAAAGGTGTAATGCGAACAAAGACTTTTCCTGGAAAAGCAGCCAGCATGGCTAAATCTTAAAAGGATAAGCAGCATTAGGCCAGATTAAAAAGCAGTAGGGTCGCCAACCTGTCCTAAGATGTACCACTTCAAGGGGCTGGAGGAAGCTGTGTCCGTTTAACCTCTGTGCTTTCCTCAAGTTCAAATGGAGGCAGAAGCCAACAGTCTTAGGGTGGCATATGCCTTATTCATCCTTGAATCTGTTATAAATCCCACAGGTACACTGCAAATGCAAGCTATGCATATCTGATGACTGAGAAAGACAATGATTTTTAAAAATATTACCCACAAAATTCACACACCAAATGAACACATACTCTTGTGAACTGCAGCACGATCTAGTCAATTTAAAACTCAGGCATTGTAAAACAGATGCACCTCCAATCCAAGCTTTACCTAACCCGTGTGTCAACTGACTTCATCTCTGCTTTTAAATAAAACTGTTCCAAGTTAATCAAGGTCAATTCATAAATGGTATCTTCAGTAGATGTGCTAAGAGGTGCTCTACTGAAATATCACACGGGAGTTTTGTTTTGTTTTCAATTTTTGTCCTTAGTAATAGAAGATGCAGCTATTACTGAGCTCCCAGCTTTCACAATGGACTAGGACACCACACAGAATGCTTAATTATACTTGAACAAAATATTAAAATGCTTTAACAAGAAAAAGGACAAAAGGAAATGATTTGGCCTACAATTATATGCACTATCTCAGATCTGAGTTTCTCTGGGGAGAGAATCCAGAGCCTCCATCAGATTCCACAAATGGTCTGGGTGACCTAAAAGTTACTGCTTCCTTAACTGCAAATTCTCATGACTATATGAGGGAAAGTTGCTATTTTTATGTGTACGTTCTTTCCACAGTGAATGGGAAAAGGAACACAGTGGTGGAGAGGATAAGACCTAAACAGGAATGGAACGAGATACCTGAACACATCATTCCGGCACCTGGAGTGGAAGGCGTCATCTCTGGGACCTCAGGCAGCTCGGGAATAGGACTCAGGAGCGGCTTCTTGGAAGCAATGTCTCTTTCCCCATATAAAGACTTTTGAACACTTTTCTTTCCCTTTGCTTTCCTCCTTCTGCAACTTTTTAGAGCCTGTGAAAATGTATTAAGATGCTGTAATTAAGATGTCACACCATATAAAAATCTTGACCATCTTATTTTTATAGAAAAACTTGAGACCAATTATTCTGTTGAAAATTTCAGAACTCTGAGTCAGGCATGGAGGGCTGGGTAGCTTACACAAAGTCAAAATATGAAGAACTTAATTTACAAATTAGACGATAACTAACGGTCTACATTTCCACAGAACGTTTGCCAAAGTAAGTTCTGGGTAAGTGAAAGATTAGATGCTATAGATTTGACAGACTTAAGACAGGGGATATGTGTAACTAGGCTATAGTTAGGATGGACCAGGATTGATCTAGAATGACTCATCTACTGGAAGCTATGAGGGGCTATTTTCTGCTCACAGGTTTGGATGAAGAAAAAAGTTATGCACATAAAAGTTACATGAAAGTGAAAGATAACATCAAACTAGGTGAGCTGCTTCAAACATTAAAAATCAAGATTGAAATGAATAGGTCAAGGGAAGCCTGGGTGGCTCAATCGGTTTAAAGTCCTACTCTTGGTTTTGTCTCAGGTCATGAACTCACACTTCATGAGTTCGAGCCCCATGTCAGACTCTGCACTGACAGTGTAGAGCCTGCTTGGGACTCTGTCTCCCTCTCTCAAAATAAATAATAAATGAACATTAAAAAATGAATAGGTCAAAAATGAGATGGGTTTTAACAGACACAAGTAGAAGAGGAGGGACAAAGGTCTGCTGATAACCGATGGAAAACACGTGGGTTCTATACAAATTAAAACTGTTCTAATAATATCTGGAATGTAGTACTGAATTCAATTGTGACTGCCGCATTAGCAAGTGAGAACTAACGTTCTGTTAAAAACAAAAACAAAACCAAAAAAGCTTCAGATGGAGAAGACCTCAGAGAAACTCAAACACTGTGTTGAAATAATAGATTGTTATGAGAAAACAGAAATACACTCGATGTGATAATATTGGAGAGAACCAGACTTCAGGTCAACATAAGGAATGGGTTTTTAGCAATTAAAGCTTCCAGAAAATGGAATGCATTCAAACATTGATTGAGAAACCAGTATGTGCAGGTAATAACTTGCTGGGTAGAAGATATGAAAACAGGATGTGGCCTTCAGGGGGCTCATGATCTAACAGCAAGTATTATTGATACATACACACCTTGTCAGACTCTATATGGACTGAGATGGGTACCTGGCCTCCAGGAGGTTTAAGACTGCCCAGAGAGCAGGCAAGGCCCTCGTATACAATGAGGAGCCTGAAAACAACGAAAGCTCACAGCACGCTGATTCAGGGAGTGACAGCATTTGATTTTACATTCAGTAAAGATCATTTGGGTGAAAATACAGAAACTAATGATGTGATGGATGATATTCAGAGTACGAAAATGGCACAGAACTGTATGTTCCTGGGGAGATCTATAGATATCCAGTGAAAACAAAACGAAACAAAACATTCCATGCAAAAATAATTTTAGAACTGTAGAAGATAAATGTTCCTCTTGGTGATTTACAATATACATTTGCCATTAAATTCTCTGAGAAGTCCTTGGTATAAATAGCCTCTATACACATTAGGAAAATACTGGGTTAACGATTTTTCCGTGAAATTTTTTTTTCTATGGAACATCTGTTGACATTCCATGAGATAGTGGGGAAATGATAGCTTGGTCAGGGGATGTGGAAACCAAAAGAAAATTCTTGGGCTCCAGAGAGGAACCACAACAGACAACAGATGGCTTCCGGTGCCAGGTGCCTGACTCTGCCACCTGGCCTATGACCTGAGGCATGTTACCTCCCCTCTCTGGACCTCATTCTCCTCCTCTGCAAAACGGGAACCACACCAGCACACGCCACAGAAAGCTGTGGTGAGCACTACGTTAACATAAATGGTTAAAAGAAGGCTTGATCCATGCACAGAAAGAGCTAGGTGTCAGCCATTCTTCTTGTTCTTTTAATTCCTTCCTAGTATTATGAAAACTGATATGGGGGAAAATATTTGTAATACCAAATTATGCTTAGTATTACAGTGTGACCTCCAGAGGCCCTACCTACACAGCAGTGAATACACCAGAGTCAATGTCATCCAGTTAGGACTTCTAGAACAGTTGCTGATTCACAGCTATAAAAAAAAATACCCTTTGAGCAGGATTTTGGGCATCTTTGTTTATATATAAAATGTCTTTGGTCCCTGCAACAGTGCCTGGCACGTAATGACTTCTCAAGAAACAAGAATGAACAAATGAATAAAGAAACGTAGAAGAAAAGGTATAGTTAAGCTTCATAAAATTTGGTAAACGTGATGAAAAGTAATAGTTTTCTCATCGTCACAGTACAGCGCCCAAAGATAAGACCAAAGACTAAAGCACCTGTGCTCTGTCAGGCACTGCCTAGCTTTCCTGCAGAGGCTAGAACCTTATCAAAATTTAATTTTACTTTAACACAAAAGTCTTGCTTATCCTGTAATGAAGAAGTCACAGTGACTGGAATCCTAGGGAAGACACTGACATGCCAACGGTTAGGATGGTTTATGACCTAAAGCAGATAAAGAACTGAGGGTATCACCCCCAAATGGGTCCATTTACTCTATAATCACCAATATTTCTTCTTAGATGGTAAAGGAGATCATGAAACAGAAGCATATACTTAAGTTGCTTCCTGTGAGTAGCTTTAAAATTATTTAAAAATAATTCATGGGCTACGACCCAGCAATAGCACTACTAGGAATTTATCCAAAGGATACAAAACTGCTGATTCATAGAGGCAGATGCATCCCAATGTTTATAGCACCACTATCGACAATAGCCAAAGGATGGAAAGAGTCCAAATGTCCACTGACTGATGAAAGGATTTAAGATGTGGTATACAGGGACATCTGGGTGGCTCAGTCGGTTGAGCATCCGACTTTGGCTGAGGTCATGATCTTGCAGTTCCTAAGTCTGAGCCCCAGGTCGGCTCTGTGCTGACAGCTCAGAGCCTGGAGCCTGCCTCAAATTCTGTGTCTCCCTCTTTCTTTGTCCCTCCCCCACTCACACTGTCTCCTTCAAAAATAAGTAAACGTTATTTGAAAAAAAGATGTGGCATCTACATATATATAATGGAATACTACTTGGCAATGGAAAAGAAGGAAATCTTGCCATTTCAACAACATAGGTGAAACTGGAGGGTATTATGCTAACGTGAAATGAGTGAGTCAGAGAAAGACAGATATATATTTTCACTCATATGTGGAAACTGAGGAACTTAACAGAAGACCACAGGAGAAGAGAAAGAAAAAAAAAGTTACAAACAGAGAGGCAGGCAAACCACAAGAGACTCTGTATTAAATACAGAGAACAAACTGAGGGATGATGAGGTGGAAGGCTGGGGGGATGGGGAAAATGGGTGATGAGCACTAAAGTATGCACTTGTTGGAATGAGCCCTGGGTGTTTTGGTTTTTTTTTTTAAACATTTATTTATTATTGAGAGACAGAAAGAGACAGAGAAGGAAGGGCAGAGAGCAAGGGAGACACAGAATCTGAAGCAGGCTCCAGGCTCTGAGCTGTCAGCACAGAGCCCAACATGGGGCTTGAACTCACAAACAGTGAGACCATGACCTGAGTGGAAGCTGGACACTTAACCGACTGAGCCACCCAGGCGCCCCAAGCACTGGGTGTTTTAAGTGATGAATCACAGGAGTCTACTCCCAAATCCAAGAGCACACTGTATACACTGTATGTCAGTTAACTTGACAATAAATGATTTAAAAACGAATAAAGAAAAATTAATGGAGCACCTGGGTGGCTTAGTCAGTTAAGCGTTCAACTCTTGATTTCGGCTCAGGTCGAAAATCCCATAGTTTGTCAGTTCAAGCCCTGTGTTGGGCTCTGCACCAACAGCATGGAGCCTGCTTTAGATATTCTCTCTCTCTCTCTCTCTCTCAAAAATAAACATTTGAAAAGGATATATAGGGTGCCTGGGTAGCTCACTTGGTTCAAGTATCCGACTCTTAGTTTCCACTCAGGTCATGATCTCACGGTTTTGGGGGTTCAGGCTCCAAATTGGGCTCTGTGATGACAAGTGTTGTAGAGCCTGCTTGAGATTCTCTCTCTCTCCCTCTCTCTCTGCCCCTTCCCCACTTGCGCTGTCACGGTCTTTCTCAAAATAAACTTAAAATTTCCCCCACAACTTTTTAAGCTATAACTGACACATAACATGTAAGTTTAAGGTATACTTTGTAATAACTTGATGTATATATGCAAAATGATTATGTTTTTTTAAATAATAACTACTATTCACCAATAAAGGCACTAACTGTTCATACACACAAGAACCTGGACAAATCTCCAGAGAATTATGCTGAGTGGAAAAGAAAGCCAGTCCCAAGGAGTTACATAGAGTATGACTGCAAGTACATTACATTGCCAGAACGGCAAACTTCCGGAAATGGAGAACAGACTGGTGGCTGCCAGTGGAAGCGGGGAAGTAGAGAGAACTACAGAATGGCGAGAAGAGATTCCCTGTGCCGATGGAAATGCTCTGTATCTTGACCGTGTTGATATGTTTCCATGACACAGCACAAGTGTTACATGTCGTCACTGGGGAAAACTGGGCAGAGGGAAATTGGGAAGTCTATGTGATTCTTGTGACAACAGCATAAATATCTAAAACGATATCAAAATAAACAACTAAAACACAAAGACTAAAGACAACAATTTTCTCTAACATTTCATTTCCTCAGTGATCAAATTTCTCCAATTGGCCCATAAATGTCTTTTCACAACTGTTTAAATCAGGATCCCGACAAGGTCTTCACACATTCCCTTTGTTGAAAGATCACTTTTAATCTATGGTTCTTTCTTCCTTCCCTTGCCGTTTATTTGATGAATAAACAGAGGCATATCTCTGATAGACTTAACCAAACTCTGGATTTGGTTGATAGCAATCATGGTGTCTTTATTTCACTCTATCTCCTATACTTTCCTAAATTGGTCATTAGATCCAGACTTGATTA